GTTTCTAAGCCAAAAATGTTCTACATGAGGAATTACATATAATAGTGATACTAACTCAAAATTGCTTTTTTCACAACGTGGTCCGTTTCTATTGTCCACACCCATTTAGTATTTTATTAATGGCAATGGACCAGTCCAAAGTCCACCAGTAAATTTTCCAACCCTGATTGATATATTATCAATTATTCCTTCACTCAAGCAAATAATTGTTCGCAATATAACACTATTTGGAATGTAATTTTTGGTCAATCATATGTAATGATTCTACGTTGAACCAATTTCTTAATAAACGTTCTTGTTAGAATGTAAATCAATTTCTCGACATATACAAGATTTATTGGTATTCAGAACACAAAATTGTAAAAAAAAAATATTTCAATTGTTTTACCCAACGTCTCTTAAACTATTTAAAAATAATTTAAGCATCGTATCACTTTCTCCTCCTCGATAATAAAAACCCTTAACATTCTCAAATACCAAAACTTTTGGACGTAATTTCACAATTGCTTCAGGCACGTTCAATGTTAATATATTCAATTCGCCCATGTCAATTGAATTACCTCTGGTGTTTGCAAAGGAAAATCCTTGGCATGGTGGTGCAGCAAGTAATACGTCAACACTATGTCTTGGAAGTTCCATATTGTCGAAAATAAATTCTGAAACATCCATATTATAACATATGGTGTTTGGATGGTTACGATGGAATGTTACAGTCGAGTCCAAATCTTTATCAACAGCCCATTTCACATTAAATCCTGCATACGCAGCTCCTAATGATAAACCACCAGCACCACAAAACAGGTCACCGACCGTTGGCTTTCTTTGACGACGAAGATTGTTCATTTGTACGTGTGAAAATTATGTGTGGCGTGAAAAATAAAAAATACTTAATATCTTGTGTCGATCGCCATAATTGCTTGAATGTAAATTTAGTTAATATTTAAGCCAATCCTTTGACTGGATTTGATACATCATATGTAATAGTTTCGTCATTCTAACAAGTACTAACGCATAACACTATTTAAATAAAAAGATCGATACGATATTATATTAAATAA